ATATGAATAGAAATTCCTAGCGCGGAGAAGTTGCTTTAGACCTGTACAATACAGCTATTGGCGGGCGTTATAAATCACAGGTTTCTATATCTAAAAACCTACGTTGTTGTAGAAATGTCGCTATGTTTGTATACATTTTCTTAGCCATGTGAGTGTAGCCTCGTTCGTGGGTTAAGTCAGTGACATCACTTCCGCTTTGAACTTCGATTGCAAAGGATTGTGGTCAGATCAGTTCAAATTAATGGCGGCTCGAAAATTACTCGAAATAATGACAAATTTGAAGTCCTTCTATTCATCCAAATGCAAAACGGACTTGGTAAGTTAATATATATTGTGTATATTAGCGAAAACAGTGGTCAGAAGAAAATGTACGGATTTCGTCGAAGCCGCACTTTAAAAATGTTAGAAATATAGATTGCTGTGATCATGAGATACTTAATTTTAACTTAAACTTTAAACTTTTTTGATAACAAAAAACTATAAGATTCAATGAACCCAAAGTAGCAAGTCTAGCAAGTCGTCGGTGTCGCAGGGAGATTTACACGAGCCTGCGCTACATCCGGTTTATTTCGCCAAAATAACCGTCTGCGAATTACCGTAAAAATTCATGTTCTAGACCACCAGCCGAGTTGCACGGTTATATATAACAGGCCTTCATTGGCTGCTATATCAAATCAATCTTACATGCGTTCTTATTCGCTAAGAAGCTCGAACTAGTCCTACTCTGAATATGGAATGTTTTGGTAATAGATGTTAGAGGTCGTTCGAACGAGGGATTTCAGTCCATACGGCTTTTGCTATCTGCTTATAAGTTCCTCGTACCAACATCTTACTGAGTGACTTAAAGATCATTGGTTTAATTCCGGAAGGAGTGCTTTGATGTCCACTGGACTCTCACTTGAACGTTCGCTTTCTTGACCGATATGCAGATTAATTTGCCGTATATAATTATCTTATACTTTATTGACGAGAAGAGCAACCGAAGAATATTTGTGTCGTCTGTTCGATTGCACATTGAGTGATCTTTATTAGAGTCTTTTATTCTTTTGCTTGCTATATTAT